GTTAAGAATCTCTGAAGAAAAAAAATATTTATTTAAATACGTTGCTTTTGGGTTATACTCTAGTATAAAATTATAGTTTGCTATAATTTTACTACAATAATAAAACAGATCAAAAAAATCTTTATTTGTATAAAATTATAACAACTAATAAGTATATATATAGGTTAAAACATATTTGTAAATTATTTTCAATTTATAAAAAAAAATAGGATCACAGAAGTAAAAAAAATAAAAATAAAATAAAAATAAATCTTATAATTAAAATTAAAATTAGTATAGAAATAAGATTGCTTTAAATAAAAATATTTTTTATTATATAAACTATATAGCTTTTAATAAAAATTATAAATTAATTTGTTCGATTCATTTTATAAACAAGACAACTCTTTTCGATGATTCTTTGATCAACAATAACAAAAACTGAACTACAGCAAAACATTTAGAAAAGTGATAAAGTAGATACTAAAACTTGGTCCTATAAGTAGGAGCAGCTTGTTGTCGACGAAGTTTAAACATTAAAACGTGAAATACCGAGAAGCGAGCATCAAAAGAATACAGACAGTTTTCTTTAGAGTCAAGTTTTCTTTCTGGCGAACTCCTCAAAATATTCGACATTTAAACCAGAAGGTTTATTCTGAGAACAAGTCTGTAAAAGTAGCCAACATGCACTTCTAAGTGGTAGAAATAGAGAAGCTGAACTATACAACTATAAAACTTACAAAAAAAACCTCACATATTCTCGTTGACTCTTCACTTTTTTTTTAGAGAAAATTTTGTAAAAAAGTAGACAATTTAGCTTACTCTTCCAAAAGATCGACATATTGTTTACTTACCAAATCAGTTGGCATTGTTTACTTTTTATCTGTCACAACAATAGGGTTGGGGGCATGGGGTTAAGAGGCATGCCCCATAGAGCATGCCCCCGGGGGCATGCCCTTTGACCAAAAGGCATGCCCCTATCATGTGATATAGGGCTATTATATAATTGGTCAATTATCAAATTGGCCAATTAGAATTAAAGCCTACTATTGCTAATTACGATAATTTATGATATATATATCTATAGAGGGCATGCCCTAGGCACAGAGGGGCATGCCCTTCGCAAAGGCATGCCCCCAGGGGCATGCCCCAAAAATTTGCCATGCCCCCAACCCTACACAACAAACACATGGATTCAAATGGAATATAGACATCTGGATTACGTGCCTCAGAAGTGGCAACCCAGACAAACAATGCTTCGAAACCAACTGTGCAAATTTTTGACTTTTCTATGGTGCCCAAAGTACGCTTTTGTTTATGCTTCTATAGGAGTTCAGACAAAAGAAGCTGGAGAACTTATAGTGCTAGAGTACAGTACTGCTATCAAAGAACTTTTTTTTTCTTTTAAGTTTTCACTTAAATATACTAATTAGTTAAATTAGAATAGAGACTAGTTTAGATAGTAATATGTAATTTTTACAAAGCTTGACACAGGCTTATAATTGTAACCATCTGTTATGGATATATCCCATATTTTTTTTCATTTTTTTTCCTCTACCCTTTATTTTCTTGTTTGTATCTTTTATCATATTCTCTTATACCTCTGTGTTTTTTTTATAAAATGTTTTTTCTTTTTCTTTCACTTCCCTACGAGAAGATATCATCAGATTGGCGATATCCTATTATAGGACGATGGTCGGATGAGCCCCTATCTAGGGTATTATCTTAATTGATCATACCTATGCGTTGCAGCAGATCACCTGTAGGTACATGTAGGTAATCGGTTAGGTTATACAAGGTAACCGCAAGATGTCAGAGTCATAATTTTATTGCTTACAGCTTTCACAAGAAGAGCTTTAATAAACAGGATTCACTGACACGACTTTGCCTAAGTGAAAAAAAAAAAAATTTTGTTCGATTCTATATAATAGTAAAATTATTATTAAAATTAGTTAAATAGATATAAAATATAAAGGTCGAAATTCTACTTCTATATTAAGCTAGTAAAATTGCGCCGATTTTTACTATGAAATTTATGCCCTTTAACTGCGAACCACCCCAATAAATAAAATTAAATCACTATTACTACTAAACTTAATTTTTAATAAATTTTTATTACTAGTTTTCTATATACTATACCCAATGCAAATCTCAAAATCATGAAATACAACTCTTTTCAAAACCTAGAATACATATTATAAATAAAAGGTGTATATGAATTTCAAATTCTGTTTTGTAATATCAACCCATATACCCAAGGTCTGTTAACGTTAATGATTTTAAATTTGGTGAAATGTAACAGGTTATGGTAATCTCTAAAAATATCGAAGTCTTTGAAAATATTCTACGTATACTTATTATTTTTAATACTATCACAATGTATTACAAATTAAAAAATTTCACTACTAGTATTAGGATTGAGCGAAATTTGATTTGACCGGATAGCGAAATTTTTTGTAGGTAGCGTTAATAAAGTAGAAGTAGTATACTCCGGGTTGAACCCAATCCAAGTTGGAGTGGGTTTAAAAAATGCCTATAAATTTGGAGTAACCTGAGCAACCCGGAATAGAATCTGGGGCAAGTCTAATTTAATAGAGTGGGTTGAAGATTGGATTAGTCCAACCCAATATATTAACAACCCTAGTTGATAATGCTAGGGTGGTTATTAAAGGCAATCAAATTTTGGACTAAAAACTTGGCAGATATTATTTATTAGTAAAATTAGACCAACCTTATCAATTTTTTTACAACATTTTGTCGCTTTTATTCGGTAATATACGGTACATAAATTTAAACTTTGATAAATAGAGATAGTAGATTTCTTTAGAGTGAGTTAAAAAAAATAACATTTTTTTGTCAAAATATATAGTATAATATAATACATAATTTAAACCATTACTTGAATCTCTTTTAACAAATAACACAATAATTTGTAATATCAGCGACAAAATTATCAAACCATCCTATATTGATTGGTTCTCCAGGGAGTCCAAATTCCACATATAAACAACCAACAGTTGGTTTATCTGGGGTACATCTTAGTTGATATTTTTTCATTAAGTTGATAATTGCTGGTTTTAATTTAGCCAAACCACTTGAATGCTTTCCACGCCCAACAATTATAACTAAATGATCAATTTTATTAGCTTTACAATATTGAATACGTGATTCGGTCTTATCCATTGCTTCTTTTACATATAGTCCGTGAAGGTCGATTTCAGTTATTGGTCGACCTTTATTATTTTCTGTTTTTAAAATAATTACATACCGATACGGTTAAAAATTGTCAAATAAAAATAGATAAAGAAATAAACGAACAATTAATATACCAATAAATATTACTTCGACAGCCATGCTATTATATATTTCCATTTTTTTGGCATGTTCTTTTCCTTTTATTGATAATTCTTTTGCTTTTCTTTTTTCATTATTTTTAAAGGCCTCCTGAGATTGAGCAAAATAATCGTTACGACGTTGTGCTTCATCATGTGCTAATTTTCGATATTTCTGATACTCTTCTTCCGCCAACTCACTTGATGATTGTGTTTGTCCCATATTTACAGACTCATTTGATGATAGTGTTTGTCCCATATTTCTATTTACAAACTCGATAAATACGATAAATACGTTGATCAAAATGAGTAGTTTTTTCTATTTTTCGCTTTGAAAAAAGTTCAAGAGGGAAATGGAGGATTAATATACGTTTATTAAAGTCGGTGACAGCATTCCACCTAATGCATATATATTCATTCACGTACCAACGTACGTACGTAAGTAAGTATGTACGATGTGTATTTGAAACACTTTATTATGTATTGTTTCCGATTGAAGTCATATATATTTAGTTAATTGTTTTGTTTGACAATTCTGTTGCCTTGTGTATTCATATCACCCAATTGGTATCCCCCGCCGAGACTTTGTAAATACTTAATGGACTACTGATTAGAACAAAGATACTCTTTAAACCTAGGTCATTTAAATTAAAATTTTAACAATTAGAATAGGATCTAGTGTGAAACTATAGAGTTTTTAATCGAAACGAATATACGCATTGTATATAAAGATATTACTGTACTCGTATATGTATGTACGTACGTACATAATACGTATGTATGTACTGTACAATGCATATCAATATCTGTTAATGTCATTAATGTAAATTTCAGATGATTACACGGTATCATTTCGTTATTAGGATAATCTCAACGCCTTTTGTTCATTTATATAATGTTCATATTGCCTAAATTATAAATATAACTATAGCATTGGGTTATATTTAGGTAAATCGAACTAATTTTGACCCCGTTTATAGCACAAATTAATGACTCCCTCATGTGACATAGAATGCCGTGAGACTTCCACGAAATTGCCTGGAATAGTGCCAATAGATTCGGTCGCAAGACTCTAATTACATAAGTGAATTAACCCATATTAATCTACTAATCACTTGCCATTATACAATTCTAGCAACAAATAAGCACCAATTCGAATAATTTAATGGATCAATCATCATGATTGACTTTTTCAAATGTCTTTAATTATTCGTTTACATTATTTACACAAATTAACATCATCCTGCACTTCTAACGTTAATCTCAAATACAAAACAGTGATTCCTTAGTATACGAAATTTTTCTTATGTAAAAAAAAAAAAAAAGGAAAAAAAAACGAAAAAAAATATACCGATGCAGTAATAACAATAGAAGTTTTTTTTTTTTTTTGTAATCACCTTTTGCATTGCTTTCAAACTATTAAGATTATTAGACCATATGTAACTAACATCTAAATATCGATATCTAACCGTTTTATATGCGTAATGATGTCTGGTGTTTAAACATCTACTATTTACAATTTAAAAGAGAAAAAAAAAAAAAGATTCATATTTTAACGAAATTTATATCAGATTAATATCGAAAACTATTTCAAAAAATCAATTTCCATTGTGTGATGACCGCTTTTGCCTAATTTTTCAGTAAATTAATAATAGCTGTTAGAAATCCAATTACAAAAATGACCAACTCTCATATCTTTATATGAATGTTACGTTCGTTATCATTCACCCAACGAACCCACGCATCAACATATCCCTTTTCAAGCTCTTTAACAGCTTGCTGTGTATCAAAAAGACGAATGTTTTCTCGGTTTAAAAATATATTTTTTCTCAATTCAATCAATTCACCGAAACCATTTCGATGAAGACGTTGTTGTGCTCCCGGTAATAAACATCCAAACCAATATTTATATACCACTGAATTTGCGTATTCTACTGCTTTGTCTTCATACGCCTGATAATCAGGTACCACCATTTTATCACCAAATCCTGTCGCATTACATATAGAGGAAGCCACTCTAGAACACATCTTGTGTTCAGGTCCTGAAAGTGTAATCATTGGTGTTCCAGACCAGAGAATATCGCATGCTGTCGTGTGCGCATTCACCTGTGGCGTATCAAGAATCAAATCGGCTATTCTTCCTCTCATAACGTGTTGTTTTTTATCCGCTACGTCTGTGAAATATATATGACTTGCAATATTTGGACCCGCCCATTGCTTTGCAGTTTCTAAAAGATTCTTTGCACCCTCTTCTGGAAAGTTTAATATCCACAAGATAGACTTTGGTACTCTTTCCAAAATTCGTAACCATAATTTAAAAATTACCGGATCAATCTAAACCATTAATTTAACGATTAACAATAATTAGTTTAAATATATTATACTAAATAATATTAATTAAATGTTATATACCTTATATAATTGATTAAAATTGGCAAAGATAACCCAATCATCAGTTAAGTTTGGAAAAAGTTGTTTACGCATATCCCAACGACGATCCTCCTCAAAAAACCATCTTAATATATGATTTTTTGCAAGTATACATCCAGGAATGTTCTCATCATAAAATCCTTTAGAAATATTATCATCATAGAATCCTTGTTTATGATCATTAATAAAGTAAGTAGTCGGCATATAAATTATCTTTTCTGGATATGTCCAATTTTTATCGTCTTCTTCAGGATCCACTTCACCCAATAAATCACCATCATTATCACGACTTTTATTCCAAAATTGAAAGTCGCTGGTCTGAGATTCCGGACATACATGTTCATCAACTATATTGTAGTCAGTCCTAATATAATTAATAAAATAAAATAAAATAAAATGAAATAAATAAAATGTCAAATAAATAATAATAATAATAATAATAATAATAATAAAAGTGGATGTAAATTGATATAAGTTTCAACCTTTAACGTACCATAAACCACCTAAAGAACTTGCAAATCCCATGTGAGTTACTTGGATCGGGGCCGGGCGAGCGGCAAAAATAAGGTTTCTATCACCAGCAGTATAGCCATTGAGATTGACAAGAATATGTATATTGTCGTGAACTATTTGTTTGACAATAGATTCAGTAGTCCAAGCGTGACAATCGTAAAACTTGTCCGCTCCTTTTTCAATTTTTACTCGATATGTAGATCCATCATTTGGTGAAAGTGAATAACAATAAACTTCTATTATGTTACGATCATGCATTCCAAATACTGATTGCATTAAATGAGCTAAAGGATGATCTTTGAAGTCGGATGAAACGTAACCGACTCTCAGCCTAGGTGATGGTGGAGGTGGAGGTGGGAAAACACATGTATCCAACCAAGAAGCCGTACAACCCTCATAAGCAATGTTTAAAGCAGTCCTATGACATATTATACGAACTTGTCTTGGATCTAGATCATATATAAATGTATAAAATGGTTGTATAGGTGTAGCCACTGGTTGTTCTAATCCCGAGGGAACCAATGGACGTTGGTATTTTGAACGGAGCTTCGGGGTTACATTAATCGGCGGTAAAGCATGTGGACTCTGAGTTATATCACCGTATGAATCCACATACCATTTATGTTGGATTCGACGAATTATATGATGAATCACACGTAAAACCCAACCACCTTCATTTTTTAGATTCAAAGTTTGATTTCTCCATTTTGCTGCTTTAGCCTTGAAAAATTTAACCGATTTATCATCATCCCTTAAATTGGAGCATAAATTTGTTAAAAGAGCTAAAATACCACCAGATTTTTCAATTATTCCTTTTCCAAATTTGGCTCCATCATTAATAGCTTTTTCAACAATATCTGCAACCAAAGCCATCTGTCCTGATTTTTGAACAGTTGGGAAACGATGTAAATTACCATTACTATCAACTGAATGATAACCTATTCCACCACGATCCTTCCAATAACATACATGTGTATTAGCTTGAGTTAAAGAAGCCAAAAAAATAGGATCATTTGGTCTTAAAGTATGAGCTCTTTTATAATATAAAAGAGCATTAGACCAAGTAGCGGTTAATTTGGCAATATCTCCTATATAACAACATCCAAAGGCGAATCTAATCAAATGATTTTCATCAGAGATCATATGAAAAGATAATAATTTTTCATACACTTCAGTCATTCCAGTAATATTTCCATCATTATATAAACAATCAGCTAAACTAATATAAGCATCAACATTTTTAGGATCCAATTGGATACCTTCACCAAGGTATCCAATAGCAGCTTGGCGACAAGCAGCAACACCAGAAATTTTGTTTAACATAGCGGCGATTTCGAAGAAAATTTGAGCGGAAGGATAACATGCGCAAGCCAAATAAAGAAATAATAAAGATATTGAACTAAGAGGGGTTACATCACTTAAAAAATATTGACATTCTTTCGGATGAGATTCGAAAGCAGAGCTTATCTCATAAAGAACACCAAAGACCTGTTTTTTCGCCAATCGTATATCGGATTGGGAAGATAAACCCAAATGACCGGGAAATAGTCCATTTGTTGTTGGAAATAACAAATCAAGTAACCTTAAAGAATCATTAACAGGTAAAATAATGAATGGAACTTGATTAGGATCATAATTGCTAAATCCAAGACATAAAATTATATCATCTAGAAAAGATTTTAAAGGTTTTCCATTCAAAGCTATTTCCAAAACCGAGAAACAATCTACGAGTGCCCCAAAGAAATCATTATTCCGTTTTTTGAGTTGGGCACGACGATAAGAAAGAGACTGTATAAAACCCACATCTAACATCTTTATAGGTGAATTTGGAGAATGTTGTAAAACGTGATTTAAAACATCCAAAGCTTCTTGAAAAAGGGATGGGTCATTAGTGAGAGCATCGGTCAAATAATTTGCGAATTCCCAGTTTGTTGGTTTAGTGCGAATAACATCGTATGAAGTACTTAGGAATTGAGTTTTATCACCGTTCTTGTTGTAACATTTTGCCAAACCCATCATAGCATCAACGTTATCAGGTCTTAAGGCTAAAACATTACGATGAGCGTTAATGGCCTCAAGCCAATTTCCAGATAATTCATGAGCCTGAGCAAGAGCCCCATATATCTTAATTTGAATATCAGTGAAACCATTATAATAATTGTTTAAGGCAGTCAAATGATTTAAGGCTTGCCTAGATAATGGAATAGCCTGATGTTGCATAAGAATTTCAAGAAGAAGAGCATCTAACCAAGCCCAAAAATTCGGATCAGTTGGAAGGAGCGGTGAATAAGGCAAATCGGACATAATAGGAAATTGATTCATGGAGTAGTTTTGATATACTCTATAAAATTTAAATAAAACTTTTGTACGAAATGTGAATAGTGTCATTTTTTATAACCTTATAATATTTACGGGAATAAAACATTCGATAAAGTCAAATAAAAAAAGATGTAAATGCAATCAACACTAGAAGAATGCAACATACCTGAAAGACAATTGAAATGAAGGGCACTGTCGACAGAATAATTATTTAATATACTATTATTAAAAAAAAAAAAA